TTCTTGATTCTTTGAAAGGGCATGCGGATACAAATGCAGCTAAAGTTCGTGATTTGGTTGATTCTCTTTCTCAAAATTTAAAGGAAGAACACACGAAATTTGAAGATGTTCTTTCTTCTCTGAAAGCCGATAATGCAACTCTCATAAGTTTGGTTTCTTCCAATTTGGACTCTATGCATGCTGAGATAGCCAAGGAGAGTGCACTGAAAGAAGAAATTGCCAAATAAGCCTCTACCATTGCCGTCCAGCAAGTCCAGCTTACACAGCCGAGAAGGAGATTTCTTTGTTAAAAGCCGAAAGAGCTATCTTTCGAAGCTGTGCCAATGATGTGAAGGACATGTTGACCAACATCCTTGGTGCTCATGATCCAATTCTAACTCTTACTATTCGCAATCATCTTACAACGAAACTGCTTCCCGCCCTTGCAATTCTACACGAAATGAAAGGTGTTTCAGAGCCTTTCGTCACTCCAAAACAAGGGGGAGAGGAATCGCAGAAGGCCGATATCACAAAAGAACTGAAGGTTAATGTAGCTTCAGTTTCTGGCCCGAAAGAAAAAATGAAACAGATTGCTCTTGATAGCGATAGTGATACTGATGAGACTATAGTCGAGGCTCTGCAAAGAAAGAAAATAGATAAAGAGTTAGATGAAAACTTGAAGATATCTAAAGAGGCTGAGGAAACTGAGCGAAGAAACAAAGAAACAGAAGACATCTTACAATGTAAGAAAGCTCTTTTTCCTGAATGGACTAGGGATGTGTTGATCAGTCAGGCTATTAAGTCACCAAGCTTTTACTGGTTAGAGCCGATTGCTTCATTTGACTGTGACAATTCCAAGGACTCACAGTTTGACATGCTGATTACACGAAAGACATTTACTTTTCGTTGTTTCGATTCAACTGTTGAGGTTCCGTTTCCAAGTCCAAAGGTTGGCCGAGAGCTTATTGATTGGTATTTGAAATATGGTCAACCTCAGTACCGTACATGGAGTGCTCAAAAGATTACAACTGTCAAAGTTTTGAAGCCGACTCCAGCTGGAAAGTTTGTTAATGTCCATTTCAAAGTAAACGAGGGACTGCAAACTCTGTCTCATTGATATCGCTTGCTGATCTTCCCAATCTTAATCCACACGATTGGATTTTGCTTGTCAACATTCTGCTCGATCATTCCAAGGAGTATGAACCAATTATAGAACATCTGAAAAGAATGTTGGGATCTTATATACACGAAATTGCTACAATGGATCAGGAGATTACAAGGGTTATGAATAAAAAGCCGACAGTCAAGCCGACCCAAAAGCCCGGTGATGTGAATAAGATGAAGATCGGGCAGATTGACTCAACTCATTTGACGGTCATATTTACAAAGGGTGAAGCTCACAGGTTCTTGTTCGCTTTGGTAGATAAACATTTGTTTTCTACTGACTGCTTAGAGCTCATCATCAATCTAATACATCGGTGCATGCAGAACTCGGATGCTGATAAGAAGAATTTTACTGATATGCTTCGGTGGTACATCACCTTTCGGTACCATATGTTAACTATCATACCGAGAGTGTTCAAGACGGTGAAAAAGCCCTCGGTTCCTAATAGTTGATGTTTCGGCTCAGAAGACGCAAAGGCGGAGATTGTTGGGCTTATTATGTTGCGTCTTAGGACTTTTGTATATATCCGGGTTAGGTCTGTCCATCCGTGATTATCTCTTTAGGGTTAGACTATATATATGCATGCATGTATGCATTATATTTTACACGTCTTATTATTTTACGATTGAGCTTGTAACCCCAAACACCTCTACAGTCGAAGTTCTTAATTGAGCTCTTCTGAGGTGTTGAAGCTTTAATCATACGACATATTCAAGCCATATTCTCTTTCACTTTACGTTCATTCTTGTTTGCGTACTTAGAACTAATCGATCTTAATAGAACTTTGTTCTAACAATATTCATGATATTTTACACTCTATGAACAATATAGAAAGGAAATACTTGCATTTACAAGAAAAAAGGACTTTTCATACGTAAACCTATTTGATACAAACTTTGTGAGACATTTGACTTCACCTACTTTCACGTACGCATTTTAAGTCTTGTGTTATAAACCATAATCTCTTGTAGGGAGAGCGTGATACTTGTGTATAGATCTATACGAGATTGACAATCTCGCACATAAACTGTTAGCTATAGTTGGACCGGCAGATCTAGGGTGACAATCGTCATATCATTCCAACGCCTGAAAAATGTTGTTACAGTCAATCTGGGTCAATAGTATAGTTATAAAACTCACATGAAGTATTAAAAATTTGATTTACGGGACTATTAAACGCCTTAGTAGTTATATATACATATATAAATCTACTTACACTATTTTAGGTATGGAAAATACTTATGCATTTAAGGTTTTTGGAACTTTTAAAACTACTATTCATTTATTGAAAATATTGGATTTTCTAGGAAAAAACTTAGTTACTTTATACAAAAAGTCATACATTTCTTATACAAAAACCTTTATGAACTCACCAATTTAATTGTTGACACTCTTTCAAAACTACTTGTATTTCTCAGGGATTCAGTAGTATAGGTAAACAACAACTTTTGGGAAGAGACACTAAGGCGTAAATTTCAAACTTATTATATCATAATAATGTAATTTCTTTTGAAACATGTAATACAATCAACGATGTAACTTTTTAAATTATATTTATGATGGTTGTGTTTGATTTCTTTACTATTTACTCAACTGTTATGATACTACATGAAGTCATCTGCCCTCGAACGATTCCGCCGTTTTGGTTTGGGGGTGTGACATATATGAATTAGAAGTTAAATGTTAGATCATGAAAACCGAAGTGTATATTTCACTGAGTAAGATGAACAAAAGTGAAGATGAACAAAATCAAGTAAAAACAAAAGTGAAATCGAACAACGGGAGTTTAGGGATTTATTTAAATGTGATCACATGCTTAGCCGTCCCACTCTTCCTTCTCCAACAAGAATTACTTCTTTCCACTCTTCTAACAAGCCAACAAGCCATTCATAGCAGCTTAGCTCTTGTTAAAGGCTAAAGAGTGTAATGAACACCCCACCCTTTCTTGCCAGCAAGCTAAGCTCCTAGTCATCTTAGCTGACTTACCTTCTTTTATTCATTTTTCCTATTAAAAAAAATAAAATAAAATAAAGACTCCTGACGATCTTTGACTGAGTGGGGTAGACAAAAGTTGATTTGGAAGAGCTTATATTCCATCATCTCAACTTATTCCAGGAACAACTCTTACCGTAACAGAACTAGGATGCCATCTCTATTAGTAGGCCATTTCTTTTGCAACACTTAAAAAAGCATCTCATAACCCCTTTATTATTACAACATTCTCTACTGTAGAACTTAATAGATGTAGGCAGAAACTCTTCTTTTATCTTATTCTTTGGATAGGCAAGTCAGCTGGTAATCCCAACCAAATAAGCAATCAAAATCACTACAAGCAACCAATTTCATATCCTTTTCGTCATACTTCCTCTTCTCCTTCTCTCACACAAGCAACTACGACAAAAGGAATTAGAACAAGGTTTACTCAACTCATCTCGACATGCATCTTGAATCAACTATACTTTGAAATAAAAAAAAACACTTCTCGTTTTGGGGTAGTAAAGTCAATAGCATTCAAAATTGTCATGATTAGAACACATAGAATGGTAACTGGAATAGCCTATGTTGTTCATAGATCTTGAAACCAATTCTCTCCCTAGAAGCCCAAATCTATATTCTTTATTTTTAGGTCGTTACAAATTGCAAAAATAAACTACAATAAGATCTTAAAACATGTATATACATGCCTAGAAGTAGATGCTAGAAAAGTTAAATGTTCGATCATGAAAATCGAATTGTATATTTCATCGAGTAAAAGGAAAAAAAGTGAAGATAATAAAATCGAGTAAAAACAAAATGAAATCGATCAATGGGGGTTGGGATTGTTTCAAATGTGTGATCGCATTTTTGGACTTGTTCATCTTCATGGAAAATGGGTCTTGATTTAGAAAAGAATCTGTAGGTTTCTTTATACGATCCTTAAGAACAATAGGGGTTGAGAGCACTTCAAGTCGAACAATCTATCTGTATCTTGTAGATTTCTTTGTATGATCCTCTACAATAAGACATTGATTGAGCTTTCGAGGTTTGATGTAGATTGGCGACACACAGTATGTGCTTGTAATTGGCCCTCGAGTTAGTAGAAACCAAAGATAATGATGATGAAATGCTTCAAAAGTAATCACATTTCTACGAAGTGTAGATTAATAAGAAACAAGATCTAAAAATGGGCCACATCACATCACAATATAATAATAAAAGTCACATTGACTACTTTTTTTTAGAAAAAGAAATAAATAGAGGGTTTTCATTTTTTCGTACGTAGAATGAAAGTTAATTGATTTAATTCATACACAAAAATATTAGCACCAAAGGACTTATATCCTAGCACTTTCGAAAATGTGTCTTCCAAAGAGTTTAGGGTTTAAATTTTCGACAAATGCGTAGTTTATGATTAGATTATGAGTCATTAGAAGATTTTATTGGTGACCTTATAAACCTAATATTTGATTAGCTTAAAATAGTACTAGTTATTTAAAAAAAAAGTTGATTTTCATGTTGTGTATTAAATATTTTTAATAAAGTTATATACTTATATATATTATAGCATATTAAACACGTTGAAAAGCAAAATTCAACCTTTTTTTTTTTTTTTATATATTTATAAAAAAGTAATATATAAATATAATTTAAAGCCTAATAATCTAAAACTTTAAATAAAACAGTTTAAATATTTTCCATACATTACAAATACATTTGAATGATTTTAACCTACATACTTTAGTTGAATCATTTAATATTATTTTTTGAATTTTCAAAAATAAAGCACAACTTAATTTATTTACATGTAAACGAATCAAAATCATAAAACTTATACATCATTTCGTTATTTTTATATTCATTCTAAAGAGAAAAAGTTTAAAAAGATGTATACTTTAGTTGATAGGCTACAGCCGGCAAGGCCTCTGACTGTGTGTGAACTTTGACTATATATTACCACTTCAAAATTTGATGCAGGCCTACAAAATACTCGTACTTTTACGCACACCAGTTCACAAACGTTCAACCCCCAAGAAATTGTGCAACTTTAGGATTGAAATTGTAGTTTTAGCATACCAACACCCTCACATTCAATCTCTTTCCCTCACGTCTCATTGATCGATAAATCAATTCCTACAAATAAAGCCCTAGAATTTGAGAAATCAAGCTACGGGTCGGGTTGTTTTGCGGTTTTAACATCTGGGTCAAGATCAAATCTCTTCTACTCGACTCATATGTTCCTCGTTTAGAGAGTCAAGGACTGAAGACCATACATTGGTGGTTTCTGTGTGTTAGTTATTTGTGGGGTTTGTTTGAATTTGGAGTTGTTATGGTTCGTTTGACTTTGAATGTTCTTTGATTCGAGAGATTTGGGCTTTGACTTTGATTTTTGATCATGGCTAGGCGCCATGGATGGGAACTTCCTGCTCATACTTTTCAGGTACACAATTTTTTTTTGCGAAATTTGCTACCTTGATTAGTTTGTAGGTGTGTGTGTTCTTATGGAATGTTGTTTGATAAGAAGTCGTAATTGGGGATAGTAAGGTAATTTTATATTTATGTAGCAAAACTTCTTAAATGCTTCTCAAAATCTGATTAGATAATCAAAATCATCATTGGTACAGTGTTGAACCGTAAAAATTAGAGAAAAAAATGGAAAAAAAAGATACAAAGATTTGGTTTCAATCTGTAAAGTTAAATCTAAGTATTGATTCAGAATTATTGCATTTGTGGTTCTTTCGAGTCTAAAAGGGTAAATTTTATCAATTTATGTGAAAATGGATCGTTTTTGTGTTATATTTAACTGGGAAAACGGGTAAAAATTAAAAAGTTTAGCTGAAATAGAAACTGGTTAAAATTCACCCATGTCATCATGGAGTGTTTCAATATATTAATTATTTATGAAAAAAAAAGACAAGAGGTGCCCTACAAAGTTATAGTATCCTGCTTTCATTTCTCTCTACTATAGTCTGTATACCATTGTATTCACAAGTTTTTTTTTATACTTTGATATTTTTTTTTTCATATTAAGACATTATACTTTGAAAAATGTGCCCATTTATAGCAGTAAAACTTGCTTTGTATTTGAATGGTATTGCTATAATTGGATAGATTTTTCAAAGTACAATGCTGTAATAGAAAAATAATAGGATGCTATAATAAACAAATCAACAAAAGTACATTGCTATTTCTTGCATTTGACCCCTTTTTCTATAATACAGGTTGTGGCAATCACGGTGTACTTCTTATTGTCAGTAGCATTCTACGCGTTTTTCTCTCCTTTTCTTGGAAAGGATATTTATGAACATGTGGCCATTGGTGTTTATTCCTTCTTGGTAAATGTTTCTTTTTGTGCTATAACTTATAATCAAATTATATACATATTATACACCGATTTTTTTTTTTTTTGCTAATGGTTTGTTTTTTTTTTTTATATGGAATTATGTTTTAGGCTCTGAGTGTATTTGTGCTTTATGTAAGATGCACAGCTATTGACCCTGCTGACCCGGGGATTCTAATTGAACCTGGAAGGGTGTCACCAAATAGATCACAAAATGGTACAGAAGCTCATGGTTAGTGATTTTTGTTAGTTTTGGAGGCTAGTTTTGGTATTTTGTGAATCTTAGTTAGTTCTATAAATAGAGTAGTGTATTTGATTATCATGCTTTATATTTATTATCAATTAGTTCAACTCCAATTCACTAAGGTGTTGTATCTTTAAATGGACTTAGTACATTAATCACTTTAATGCTTAATACAAACATGTTTGACTTAAACATGACTTGGGGCATTTTTTTTTTTTTTTTTTTTTTTTTTTTTTTTTTGACTTAATAGACTTCATACATTATTCACTTGATGAAAACAGTTTTGACTGAATACCTTAAACATGTCTAAATAGGTTATAAGTGAGGAGGATGTCTTTTTAAGCATTCAGACGTTTCCTTTAGCCCTTGTATCCCTGTTTTTGTTAAAAGTGTAGGAATAGGATTTGGTGAATAGAAGGGTAAAATGGTCATTTATTCCGATTCTGTCAGTTCATTCACTCCAGACGTGCCTTATTCATTCATTCAGCAGTTTGTCCATACAACAGTTAATGTAGAAAGAATAGAGAAAGTCATGGAAATGAGATTTTTTCCCTATAAGTCATGACTAATTACATTTATTTTATCCTTTCCATTTCCCTATGTGTGAATATTCTATAAACATCATTTATTCAGACAATATATTTTGATTTCAGGACATGCGTCTTCTGTTGGAGAAGCTAGCAAATCAGGGTTTCAAAATGAAGGAATATATGATAACAATAGTCCGAGTTGTTGTTCAAAAGTTTTGGGGGTTCTTTGTGGTTGCATTGTGAAAGAAGATTGTCGTAATGATGAAGAGATGCAACAAGGGGGAGAAGAAGAGGCTTTATTTTGCACTCTATGTAATGCAGAGGTATTGACTTTGTTTGACTTTCTCTTGTCCTTTTAGAGTAATGTATTTTTCTCATTCCAATATCTAACTTTTCGGGTCACAAGCTACGTTTATTTTAGGGTGAAACACATAAATACTTTTTTGACCATATTAATTGAAAAAGTTCCATTCCATGCAATGATATAAAAAAAGTAATCTAACATATCAAATGAACAAACTATTCTAAATCTTGTTTTTGGTTTTTTATAGGTGCGTAAGTTTAGCAAACACTGCAGAAGTTGCGATAAATGTGTTGATGGATTTGATCATCATTGTCGTGTAAGTGTTTACAACCTCCTAAATTGCTTTTACTCAAGAAAATGAAACCTCGTTTTATTAATAGTTTTATACTAATATATATATATATATATATATATATATATATATATATATATATATATATATATATATATATATATATATATATATGTAAGTTCTCATGATTCGCTTAACTAATTCATAACTTAATTTTCTTCCATACATTTATTATATGCAGTGGTTGAACAATTGCGTAGGGAGGAAAAATTACTTTACATTCATCTGCTTAATGGCTATGGGCCTTGTCTGGGTAAGCGATACAATAAATTGTAACTTTTGATTCATGCGATACTGAACAAGCTTTCTAGGGCTATTTTCAATGATGAGGATGAGGAGGGCATTCATGTCTTTTTACATTAAGCTTTCTAGTTTAAATCTTGGTTTTTATTTTTAATTTCAGCTTACTTTTGATTGTGGAGTTGGAATCGCGGTTCTTGTTCGGTGTTTTGTTAATAAAGGGTCTACAGAAGATCAAATTGCTAATAGACTTGGGGATGGATTTAGTCGGGCCCCATTTGCAACTGTTGTGGTATGTTTCCTCTCTTTACACCTCATATTTTTTAAATGTTTATGTAACTCATTTGCATATTATTTTTAACCACCATACAATTTGCTTAGGGAAATTTTAACCTGGGTATGTGAAATTAGATCAATTTGTATTGTACTTTATTGCCATCACACCAAATTGGTAAAATAAAAATAATAATAATAATAATTACACAATGAGAAAAATCATAACCATAAGTGCATAATTGTTTTTTCTTCATGCAGGCTATATGTACGGTTGTCGCTTTTCTAGCCACCATTCCGCTAGGAGAACTCTTCTTTTTCCACATTATCCTAATTCGCAAGGTTCGTTTTGTTTTTTTTTTTTTAATAATAATTATTATTAATAATAATAATATACCCCAATGGGACCAAGACCGGTCCTGGTTCCAATTTGGAACCAGGACCGGTCCCAATTACTTGCCTGTTGTGGGTATCCGTTGCTCACACTGGCAGTCTGACATTATGGTTTTTTGATTATTTGAAAAAACCATTTTTTTTTTGTGGTTACTTGATTGCAGGGTATAACAACATATGAATATGTTGTTGCCATGAGGACACAAAGTGAACCTGCGGGGCCCTCGATAGACGGAATGGATCAACAAAGCTTGCAGTCTTCCCCCACGAGCTCCGCTGTCACTGCTATGAGTGGCCGAAGCTCTCTTGGTTTGGGTTTGCAATATAAAGGTGCTTGGTGCACCCCTCCAAGAATCTTTATGGATCACCAGGTACCCATGCCTGGTTCTAGACCTCTAAAATCAAATGTCTAAAATACCCTTCAGCAATCACAAAATAAGGGTGTTTTCTAGGCCAAAATCAGTAATATCCACAAAATATACTCGTTGCTCCCTACTTAAAAGAAAATTTACACTTTGTCCGGGAGATATAGCTTAATGAAATGTTTAAAGGATAGTCAAATGTCTAAAATACCCTTGGGGCAATAATGGAATAAGGGAACATTGTATACCATAATAATAACATAATAACACCACTGAAAGATAGCATTGTGTTACCTTTACTTTGAGGAAATTTACACTCCTTTCCAAACACGTAGTTTGATATAAAGTATGTTTGAAAGTTAGTCAAATGTCTAACATACCCTTGAGCAAAAACAAAATAGGGAATCATATTACAAAAATCAATAATACCAGTAAACTATGGTCATCACATTAGGTAAATAGTTACTTTTAATTTGATACTTGGCAAAATATAAACAGTTGGTTGAATGGTAAATTACATTACCAATTTCATCCCAAGCCAATAACCCGAAGTTTGACTTTCACCAAAAAAGTCAAAGATTTCTGCTTTTGCCATACTTTATTCAATTAGCAAGTCATGTGATTCCATAAGTTTAACAGATGTATAATTTTTGATTGATTTATAGATGCAAGTATCTAGACAAAATTATCATGTTAGAATGTGTCATAATAAAACTTGTGAAATTACGATAATAACCCTATAATTTTGTCACCAGGACGAAGTCATCCCTCATCTCGAACCCGGGCGGCTACCATCAACAGTCGATCCAGACGCGGTCGACAACAAGGGCAAAAAACCACCACAACGCCCAGTCAGAATCAGTGCATGGAAACTCGCAAAACTCGATTCAACAGAAGCCATGAAAGCCGGTGCCAAAGCTCGAGCTTCCTCTTCTGTCCTCCGTCCACTTGGCACTACAAAAAACACTCAATTCGATCCTGACCATTTATCATCAAGCAATGTCAGCATAAAAAGCAGCCCAACCAGCACCCATAACCAATTTCATGCCTCCAAAAGCTCATATCCACCTAGCCGAGCTAGCCGTGATGACACCGAGATCAGCAATTTAAGCAGCCCAACACCTAACCGTGACCATTTCAACCCTATGTATCAGTCCTCTGGGAACCAGTCTCCCTGGTCCAACGAGCCAGGGCCGGTGCGGATGCCTGTTCAGGCATCCGCACCGATTCCGGTACGAATACCTGTGCAGGCATCCGCACCGGCACTTGCACCAGTTTCTAGAAGAAACGCGGTGGTGAATGACGGTACGAGGTCGTCGTCGTCAGTGTATTGGGATCAGGAAGCAGGGAGGTTTGTGTCGGCCGCCACGACAAGGGCGGTAGGTGGTGGTGGTGGTTTGGTGCAGGGTTCGGGGACGGAGTTGACTTATACGGGTCAATCAATTTTCTTTGGTGGGCCGCTTGTGGGCCCTAGTGGCGGTGGTGGTGTTGGTCTACAGAGAGAGACCACCAGCACCGCTACTATTGCTGGTAATACGTCGAGTTATTATCAGCAGGGGAGATCACAGCGGGGCGGGCAACTTCCGGTGTTTGTTCCGAGTGATACTTCTCAGCAGAGATTACATAGAGACATCTAACTTTGTAAAACACCATGAGATTTGTTTAAGTTATTTTGTAGAGTTGTTTCTTGGATTGTTGGACTTTTGACTTTTTTATTATCAAAGTTTGACTTATTTTCCAAATTCTGTGCGGTATGTGCTTGAATTTAAGGGGTGTTTAATATGCGTTTAAACTAAGAGCATTCATAATGGTGAGTTTAATGGAATAGTTGAATGAGGTGGCAAGTCCATGTATCATTCAATGGATGAAACTCAACCATTGTGAGATGCCATCTTGGCATTTAATGGATTTGGAGTTCAATGGCCATTGAACTCTTCAATGGGAAAAAGAAAAGTTTTAATTATTAAATATTTATTATAAATTGCATTTTGTAACATTCTATTGAACTTTGTGGAGTTTAATGCATTGTAAAGAAAAATATTATATGGTTGTATGGATTGTAGAATGATGATGTGTCAATCCACTGAACTCTATACATTATGGATATCCTAATCATATTATGATTTAAAATTGTAACGGTTAATTGACCATTTTTTGAGATGACATATCACCATGAAAATATCTTTTTCTAGACTTTAACCAAATGACTACAAGAACTGTGAAAATACAAATGTAAAATTCGTAGGAAACCATGATATGATATAAAGCAAACCAATAAACGCTAGCAATCAGAAGTTATTTTTTGCAAGATTTTTTTTGATAGGATCCCGATCCTTATCTAATACGACTTGATAATGACTTGCAAGCTTCGCTTGTTCTTCATGCATATTAATATTTTGTTCCTACTGGACGTACCGTTCAATTATGCATTATATTCATGCAATTATAATTTTTTTTAACTAAATAGATGTGGGAGATCTATTTTCTTTTATATAAGGGTTTGAAGCTTACACCCAAGTATTTGTCTAATATTTACAACTAGATGAATGATAGTGTATTGCACAAATTAAAAATGTATTATAAAAATATTGAAAAATATATGTTGTTTAAAATAGTTTTGTTATTAACATTAACATATTAACTTTTACACTTAGTTTATATATAAAATCTTAATTATTTAAACAATATTACTAAATCACCTTTGGTTGTACATAATAAAATATGATATAATTCTAGGTTTAGTGTTATTTTGAACGGTTGTAGTGATCAAGTAATTTAATTAATAAAATTTAATAATCATAAATGATAAATGATTTAGAGATTAAAAAGCCTTGAATAATTTTAGTGTTTTTATCCATCTGTAATTGTATCTGTATCGATTTTTCTAATTTTTTCCATTTTAAAGTTGTAATATAAAATATTTTTGATAAATTACTTGAAAATATGGTCTCAAAAGTTGAACTTTGTTTGTTTGCAAAATAAGTTTTATCTCGATTTCCAACATCTAATTACCATGATAGAGTATTTGTTCTATAAGACATTTTAAATCTTAGAACATTATAGAATTATTGTACTTATTAGCAAACAATGAAAATTATTAAATATGTTATTAAAGATAAATAATTTATGAGAGTTTTAAGTTAAGTAAAAGGGCAATATGTATAAAATTCCTTATATTTTGGTTCTATTAACATTTTTTGTAGTTAAACCATTGAAACAGACTAGTACTTGTAACTGAGTTTAATTTTCAAGTTACCGTAAATAATAACATGTTTCGATGGCTAAATTATAAACAACATATCAATGGTGGCTTTTGTGTCAATAGGCCAAAATATATGTATTTTTTTCAATACATAATAATTTTTAACATCAAATTTTACCTATTTTAAGATTAAGAAAGTGTTTGGGATTTGATTTGAACTTCAAAATGACTTATTGACTTATGGTGGTGAGAAAATGATTTTTTTTTTGTAAAAAAGTGTTTGAGTTAACTTTTATGGTGGGAAAAGTTAGTAAGTTAATAAGTTGTTTTTAGTTAAAAAGTGTTTTTCTTAACTTATATATGTTTTCATATTACCAAACACTTTTTTTTTTTTTTTTTTTTTTTTTTTTTTTTTTTTTTTTTTTTTTAACTTATTGACTTTTTAAAAAACTAATTAGTCGTTATCTACATCGGTAACCATTATGAAAATCCAAGTGAAAAAGAAGACCATATGACATTTGTTTTTTGGATTTTTAAAATCACAGACATATTTGTATCAACGTGATATATTGTAATATATATTCTATTGTTAGGTGTATTTCATGAACCCATTCTATAGCTTTATTTCATAAAAGTGCATTGCATATAGGCTTAAACTCATGCATTTTGCATGTTTTTTGGAAATTTTCATGAGGCTATTTCATGTTGGATTTGGTGTTTACAAGTATAATATACTAATATCTAATTAGTATTGATCAAGAATTAATTTTGTGGTCAAAAGAGGCTAATTAAATATATGGGGATTGATTATGTAAATCAATGATTCTTGTAGTGTGGGCCAATGATCCATGATTATTTAGGCGGGCTAATCCAATGAGATAGTCCATGGAGGTTAAATCCATGGAGCATGAGAATGTGGAAAGTCATGGGTTATTAGGGTTTACAAAGTGTAACCCTAGCATGTGTAACACTATAAATAGAACCCCTCATGGACGAAAATCAGTTGCCACATCTATTGAGATAAGTAACTTATTCTCTTAAAACCTCATCTTGCATGTTGATGTTTGTGAACAATTAGAGGCATCACACTTGGGGTGCTCAAGCTTTCAAAGGTCAAGAACTCTACCCTACTCAAGAGGTAAGTATCCAAACTAAGTTTTTCTTATATAGCTTCAATTGTATGCTAGCTAGGGTGAATGCTTTGGAAAAACAAAATTCATGTATAATTAGAGAGAACATAGATCCAAAGCATTTAGGGTTGCATGTGCACCATAGGAGTGTTATAGTGCTCAAAACCCAACAGTGGTATCAGAGTCTATGATTGTTTTCTATTATATTTGATGCTTACTAGTTTTTCAAAGCTGAAAAAGTCGAACTTTTGGCCTCTGATTGGTGAACTCTCCGAGTCCATGAACAGACTCGACGATTCCATTCAGTAACAGAGCAACTCGTCGAGTCCAGTTCATCCTCTGTGTGCAGGATTTTGAGTTTCTTGGCCTGGTTTGGATTGGGAACACTACCACAAACTGTTTTGGATCATTGGAAATGTTTTTTATGATATGGTAGTGCTTGTACTCATCCAACCACAAAATAATTGTCAAAATTTTAAAATAATTGTTGTTTTTATATGATAAACAAAATTGCTTTCAAATTGTTGACTAGAAATGTAGCACCTGGTTCCTGGTACGTAAAAACTTATCTAAGTATTTTGCATTTTGGTCTTAGATTCAGAGAGTTGTAGGCCCGACTCGCCGAGTAGAGACGGGTTTGGGAGCACATTTAAGTTGGCGACTCGGCGAGTCAACATTCTAGACTCGGCGAGTCCCCGTTGTCTGATGAAACCCTAAATTTCAAGGGCTTGCACCCTATTTAAACCCTCTTATCTGCCCCCAAGATCGCTCCCTTCATCCTCAGAGCTCTATACTTCGTTCAAGCCTTGTTCCTTGTGAGATTGAAGCATTTTGGTGTGTTTTCTTGAAGTTTTGGAGAGGGAAGGAGAGGAGATCAAGAAGAGAAGAAGGAGGCCAGGCATATTTGTGTTATCTCAGTGATTTCCTTGAGGTATAACTCAGTTTCCCTCTATTTTCATGCTTATTTTCCCTTGTAGGTCCATGAAAATCCTTCTTGAGCCTTTCCCCAAGCTTGTTTGTGTATTAGGGTCCGTAATAAGTTGTTTAGCCTCTAGATCTAGGCATGATTGAGCTCCAGGAGCTTGGATTTACTGCCTTTATGGAGCCATATTGCATGAAAGCCCTAGATCTACTCTTTTAGTGCATTTTGAGCCCTAAAACCTTGATTGGTGTTTATTTACACGTAAAGTTGGAAACTTTACGTGTTAACCAGGCCCTAGAAACCCAGATCTATGTATGGTATGAGCTGGATTCAAGCAGAATCACGTGTATAGTATTTGCATGTGGCAGACTCGGCGAGTCGAGTCGCGAGTCCCCGAGTTTTCCCCCTTTTTCGTGTTGCGGGTTGGGGTAGTGAGTCATAGGGTGTGACTTAGTGGGTTGGAAGCTAGACTCATTCATGTAGTAACTCGGCGAGTCAATGCCATGACTCGGCGAGTTCAAGGCAATCGTCTTGCCTCAGGAACAGACTCGGCGAGTTGTTCATACAACTCGGCGAGTCTCAGCATAGAGTGTTCTTTGGATAAAGACGAACTCGACGAGTTGTTCATACAACTCAGTGAGTAGGATGAAGGAAGTTTGGTCATCAGTTTAGAAGGAAAACTCGTCGAGTCGATGCCAAAATCGACGAGTAGAGACAGGACATTGGTTAGACAAAGGGATAGGGACTTGGCGAGTTGGCAGGCCAACTCGGCGAGTCGGGTCAACTGGAAGTTGCCTTTGACTTTGACTCTTGATTTGGTCAGGGGTAAATGGTCATTTTACCCTAAGGTCGGTTAGCAGTATTTGACTGGGTGTTTTGTGGGGGATTTTTTTAGCCGGAGGACTTCCAGGACAGCAGCAGCAGCAGAAGACAGTCAATTCCCACACAGATCAGCAACTACTTTGAGGTGAGTTACCTTCCAGTAGCGGTGGGTCTACGGCCACAATGCCGGCCCACCAGTAGGAGTTGTATGTTAGATGATTGTCTTTGTGATATCATCTAGGTTTGCTACTACCTGATATGTTATATGCTGGTATGATACAAATATGTGATAGTAGTGGAGTTCGGTCGTTAGGACCAAAGGGTAGGTCAGACACCCTAGATAGGGCTGACAGTACGAGATGATATGTTTATATGCTGGCATGATATGTTATATGTGATAGTGGTAGTAGGAGGGGAATAGTCCCCAAGCCCGGTTGTTATGACCGAAGGGTAGATCAGACGCCCTAGATAATATGTTATGTTATGATATATGTGATAGTAACAGTAGGGGTGAAATAGTCCCCGAGGATCGGTTGTTAGGACCGATGGGTAGTCAGCACCCTAGAATGGCTTGACATGGGTAGTCAGCACCCCAGAATGGCTTGACACAGGTAGTTCGGCACCCCAGAATGGTCGTACCGGGTAGGTCAGGCACCCCAGAATTGCCCGTCAGT